AACTAATTTAGTTAAGAACGCTGAAAACGATGGTGAAGTCCAAATTTCGACACGAACTTATTTTTAATGTTATATATGGCCTAATGAAGTTCGCTATTTTTGCAATTTTCGCGCATTCGCACAACACTAGTTTACTGCGATGTCTACTACGAATATTGGTACATTTTTTTTCGGTAAGTGCCACGAAACTTGTAATCACTGCCCATAAAAAATTTGTAAAAATTGCATTTTTGTTTACCGAGCCACTCGCTCGCTCGGATAATTAAAAACGAAAATATCTCTCGATTTGCTATGCAACACCTTCCCAAGTGGGCCACAGGCTACAATGATATAAAGACGTAGGCAACGACGACGAAAAATAATTGTTATATTATAATATTCAACATTTTTGACTAAATAAATGATTTAATCGATAAAAAATATATCCATACGAATTGAATTAATGCGCATTAGGGGGCGGGTTTGTATGCACCTAAAAAATCAAGATTAGAGGTCTAGGAAAATTTTAAGTTAATGCGAATGTTTTTTAGTCCATGTTTTATATTTTGTATTCCATGACCAAAACAATTGTAAGATTTTTTTTAAATTCCAGCTAAAAAATTAATTCGCATTAAAGCGTTTACATGCATTTCTTAATCCCGGAGTAAGAGTTAATTCTATTTGTCGAATCGAATTAAACAATAAATACGAATTAAAAATGCGTTTATATGCACCCAACTCCCGGATTGACTCAATCCGCATTGAGTTAATACGTATTAACGACTGCATATAAATGTGGTAGGCGAGCGGTATAACTAGTGTTTGAAAATTTCATGAAATTTAAAAAAATGAAATATTTCATGAAATATTTCAAAATATGTGAAATATTTCAATATTTTAATATATTTTGTTTTATTTTTAAATAAGTTTTATATTTACATATAATTGTCATAAATTACCTTCATCAGTCATCACTATATGGTACCTGTATGTATACCTAACCTTTGGTATTATACATTTAAATTGGTATTCAAAATTTTTAAATATTTTAATGTTTAAATGATACAAGTAGGTATACAATATTATACATGTATATTGTATACTTACTGAATTCTGACATTAGAATTTATAACATTGAACATTGTGTTAAAAAAATAAATAAATTGTGTTTTTATTTGTGTTAAAAAAAATTTCAATGTTTCACGTTTTTGTGAAATATTTCACAACTTAGTGAAATATTTCATGAAATATTTCTCATACTTCAAACACTAGGCATAACTAGTGTTCCGCGAATGCGTGAAAATCGCAAAATAGCGAACTTCATTAGGCCGTAACTTCAAAACTAAATCCGTGCGCTAAATTTGCACTTCACCATCGTTTTCAGCTTGCTTAACTACATTAGTTTAAAAAAAAAAATTTCAAAAAAAAATAGTGTCCCCTAAAGTAGAAATATACCCAAATATTGAACACAAAATATGGCGTACCTACGTACCTAAGTATTGAAATAAACAAATCTAATAATACAAAAATATTGCTAAGAAAGTTTACATCGTTTCTCATTCGTTTACAAAAGAACCGTTTAATAAATCTACTGTAAAATAATATTCAATTAAAACAGGCTAAATATTGGACGCTAAAAGTTTTTAGTGACACCAATAGTTTTTATCATTTAGTTATATTTCGTAAATGTATATAAAAAAAAAATTATTTTCAGTCGTATAATCCAGTCATTTAGATCTATCTAAAGCCGTGTTAAGTAACTTAAGTAGTTAAGTACGTATAATTTATTAAAATATCAAACAATTTGGTTGTCTTTATCAAAAATTAACAACTCGTCATTTTTAATGTTATATAACTTATATAAGTTTATAACCATTCGGCATACATACATATTTTGTACATTGTACACACAATTTGAAGTATTGATATATGAATAAACACTAATTAATTCAATAAGTATCAACATGACGTCTTAAGTAGGTACCTACCTATCTTTTTGTTGGTTAAATAAGTATTTGTTTGAACTTTTAAGTACATATGTAATATATATTTTATACTACAGTATAGGTACTTAAGATAGAAAACAAGTACCTAGGTATTATAGTAAAATACAGAGTCATCATAAGTCAACGTTTTTTTTTTATAATTTATTAATAATTTTGAATCAAATAGTTGAACCAACGCGAACTATACATTTTAACATTTATTTGTAATCCAGGCACGCCCGAAAAATGCACCACCTGATAATTTGAATTTTTCAAATAAAAAAAAATATGTAAAAATTCCTTCTCTGTTAATTTATAATTTTTCTCCATGATTATGCTCAATATAGTATATATGTATTCTAATTTCTAAGAAACCGTCGTCTGTCGAACTTTAGTATAGGGTACAGTGATGAAAGTACGGTAATACCACTCGTCTATTGATATATTTATTTTGGTGACTAATGATATTATTATTTATTTCGTTAAGGTTCCTCGCTACAGCTATTATTTGAGGGGCAACATTTAGGCAATTTTTAATCAATTATAGCTTACAATAATATAAGTCTTAATGTTTACAAAGTGTTCGGTACGATCTATAGAAAATTTTCTGGCGAGTTTGGGTTTTTCAGAATAAAAATCGGACAACGTAAACTAACTTTAATTTTGTTAAAACTTAAGGTCTTTATGAGCTAAAATTGAATGCAGTGCGAAGCCTCTTATAACTGTGGTACATTATTATGGGTACTACAGGGTAGGTATGTTTGATCCACTTATTATAATAATATATTGGTGTATCATGTATAATATGTAATGTATACAAATAAAATATTAGGAAAGTATAATAATTATTGTACACGTCTTATAAGCCTAACACTATGAATTGTTTATTGTATTGTTATGCAATTATAGTCATATATTAATGCAATTAAAATTTTAAAATAAACTAGTTAAAAAAAAATCTAAGCGTTACATAAAATTAAAATACATTTCCGGTAACTCCAGTCTCCAAAGTTCTTCTTGGATATAATATAAAAAAAGTGGCTAAGTGGATGTCGTTCTGCTGTATAGTAAGTTACAAGTGGGTAACTGTAATGGATGATGTTCAATTTGAATTCAATGATATAATATCATTGTAGATATAAGAAAAACGATTCTTAGCGAAAACGGTCAGTCAGCCTATGATATTACTATAAGTATATTTGATGATATTATTGTGAATAAAGTAATTTAGATATTTACCTATTTAAGTGGAACCTTGTTTTAAATTTTCCATCCTTAGCTGAACATTTTATAAATTTTTAACTACAACATAATTACTAAATTTTAAATTTGATACATTTTGTTAAAATTTGAACTTTAAATGCTTAAATTTAAAAAAAAAAATTGTGCATAATATGTATTTTTAATATTTTTCAACTGCTATTGTAACAATATATCAGGAGCCTTGCATTTTTTACCCCACAAATAAAATTGTATGGGTATTTATAGAAAAAGAAACTAAAAAAATTGAAAACTGACAATGTCCGCAAACAGCTCAAAAAGAGTCAAACAATTTTGAAATGTTTTATGGTGTATAGACAATGAAAATATAAACATTCTGTAAAATTTTCATGTATCTACAGTTATTCGTTTTTTACTAACAATAAAATATCAAAACCGCTACATCAGAAATCGAGTGAACACTGAACATCCAATATTGTAAAAATATGAATTTCTAACTCAAAGTAATTTGCAAATTTTAGTCATTTTTACGTATTTTTTCAATATTTAGACTTTAGATGCTAATAAAAAAAATTGTGACTATGGATTTTTAATTTTTTTCAACTGCCTTTGAAACAATATACTAAGAGTCTTCTATTAAATTTAAGAACTTTTTTAACCAACGAATAAGATGTTATTGATAGGTATTTATAGAAAAAAAAAACTAAAAAAAATGGAAACTTAAAATGTCCGTAACCGCTTAAAATAAGTCAAAATAGTTGGAAAATGTTATGGTGTATAGAAAACGCTAATGTAAACTTTCAGTCAAAATATCATGTACTTACGGTCATTTGTTTTAGAGTTGCACCAAAAAACAAAATCGATTTTCTCGAAAGTTTTTTACGGCGCTTTTGAAAACTACTTGGAAATTTTTAATTTTGACCCCTCCAAAGTACCAACTAGATTCACTTTCCTATCAGAAAAGATACTGTTGAAGAAAATCTAAGAATTTTTACTGTCCGAAAAGGTGATGACGGACATAAAAATTTAAAAATTAAAAATACATAAAAATAACCCACATAATTGTAAAATCAATACATTCATCGTTCCACTCAGAATTTAAAATTAAACTAATGTAGGTATAAATAAAATTAGACCTAATTCATTAAATGGTATATTTTTCCAAACAATTAAATATTTTATATTACAATTAATAACAAATTTATACTAACCATTATGTAGGTAAGTATCTAATTATTAGGTAATCAATATACATTATAAATCCTTAATTTTTTAAACTTCATCATAAAGATTTCATTAAACTAGGGTTAGGGAACGGTGATCCCCCCCCCCAGCTTATAATGTCACTAAAAGTATTTTGCACCTATTTATTGAGCTACTTATCGTTATCTGGGAGCGTGTATACGTTTAACATAATATAGTCGGCATATGGATTCCTAAAATCATTATTCTAATCAGTATTCACTATTCAATAATACCTATAATAAAATAATAAAATAATAAAAATAAAAATAAAATAAAATTAATAAAATAATATTACCTATCTAACCATTGTAACCTACTTCTAGTTTTGATTATTATATTTTTTAATACCTACTCACTATAGTAGTGCAGTTACAATATGCCTATTGTGTATACATAAACTTAGCTTTTTTTTGAAATCGTATGCACTTTTTTCTTTCAAAACAAACGCGCAACGGTCATCCTAATTACGGATTGGTGCGTGCCGATTTAAGTACAAATAATTAAAAGAGCAACTCTACACGAATCAGCCAAAAAGGTTGTATGCGTTGTAGATTTTCATAATTTCACGAGATGTTACTAAATTTCAAAAAGGTCACATTGGTCATTGGTTTATCCTTAACTGTCATTGTCATCTGCAGTGTCCTGTACGTGTTCACTGTTGGATGGGAACAACAAAATAACGACGTCGTTGGACCAGGGCGATTTTCTGATCCATCACTCAAATTCGTCAGCGTAGTATGTATTTATGTTGCACAGCAGTTTTTGTTTGTTATTCCTGACACTTTCGATAACTATTGAGAATTTTTAGATTCTGAGTGAACGATGAATGTATTGATTTTACAATTATGTGTTTTTTTTTTTTTTTGTGTGTCTGTGTACACGATAAGTAGTCGAAATAATCCTTCGATTTTCAACTTCAATATCTTGTTCGATCGGAAAGTGAATATCGTTGGTGCATTGGGGAGGTCAAAATTTAAAATTCCCTGTAATTTTCAAAAGCGCCAAGAAAAACAAAAGAAAAATTAAGAAAAAACGGGAAATTTTACTCTAAAATCGATTTTTCACAAAATTGAATTTTGTTTTTGGGGTAACTTTAAAACAAATGACCGTAGATACATGAAATTTTCACCGATTGTTTATATTTGCATTTTCTATACACGATAATATTTTGAACTGTTTAGGGACATTTTCATTTTCCATTTATTTTTAGTTTTTTTTTAAAAATATCAATAAAATTTTATTTGTTGGTTAAAAAAGCTTGAAAATTTAATAGAAGGCTCCTAGTATATTTTTTCAAAGGCAAATGAAAATTATTTAAAATCCTTAGTCACAGTTTTTTTTTATAAGCATTTAAAGTTCAAAAATTGACAAAATATTTCCTTATTTTGTTGTAATTCAAAAACGAATAACTGTAGATACCTGAAAACTTCACTGAATATTTATATTTATTAGCATTTCCTATACACCATACAATTTTGAAAATATTTTGACTCTTTTTGAGCTGTTTACGGACAATTACAGTTTTCAATTTTTTTAGTTTTTTTTTCTATAAATATCAATAAAGTTTTATCTGTTGGGCCAAAAAGTGTAAAAATGTAATACAAGGCTCCTGATATATTGTTACAATATCAGTTGAAAAATATTAAAAATACAATGGCACAATTTTTTTTTTTTAAGCATTTAAAGATCGAATTTTGACAAAATTTATCAAATTTAAAATTGAATAATAATTTTTAGTTAAAAATTTATAAAATATTCAATTTTTATATCTATGAATTGAAAATTTAAAACAAGATTGCACGTAAGTAGATAATTCTGTTACCAAAAAATCTAAAAAATACATATGCAAATTTTATTTTTATAGTCAGTAAAGTTCAAATTTGGACGAAATTACATAATAAAAAAAGGTGGGCAAGTGGGTGTCGCTCTGCTGTACAGTAGGTTACAAGTGGGTCACTGTATAATGGATGGTATTAAATTTGAATTCAATGATATAATATCATTGTATAAGAAAAACGATTCTGAGCGGAGACGGTATGTCAGTCTATGTATAAGACATATTATATACATATCTATGGTATTAAACAAAAAATTGACCTATAATAGGTACCTATAATAAATTCCAAATTAATCATATCACAATATCCATTAGATACTTATAACGCGTTATACAACAACAAAAACCGTGATACTATCATAGATATATAATAGTACACTTTAGAAGTTTCAAGTACCCACGAATAATATTATTCAATCACAACAAAATAACTAAAATAGTTATTCTAGGTTTTTTAATATGTAATTTCGTCCAAATTTGAAATTAAAATGTCTGTAAAAAATAAGTGTGTTTATATATATTTTAGATTTTTTGGTTACAGTATGAATTATTTAAGAGAATCTTTGTTTTAAATTTTCAACTCTTAGTTATAAAAACTGAACATTTTATAATTTTTTAATTCCAACGATTGATAATTTTTGAGATTTTGATAAATTTTGTCAAAATTCCAACTTTAAATGCTTATAAAAAAAAATCGTGCCTATGTATTTTTAATATTTTTCAACTGATATTGTAACAATATATCAGGAGCCTTGTATTAAATTTTTACACTTTTTGGCCCAACAGATAAAACTTTATTGATATTTATAGAAAAAAAACTAAAAAAAATTGAAAGCTGTAAATGTCCATAAACAGCTCAAAAAGAGTCAAAATATTTTCAAAATTGTATGGTGTATAGAAAATGCTAATTTAAACATTCAGTGAAATTTTCATGTATCTACGGTTGTTCGTTTTTGAATTACAACAAAATAAGGAAATCGCTACATGAGAAATCGAGTGAATATCCAATGTTGTAAAAATTTGAATTTCAAACGCTCATAAAAATTTAATTTGACTGTCCGGTAGAGATTTTTTTATTGATAAAGGTAGATAATCTTATAAGGAATCTTGTGTTTCATTTTCAAATCTTAGATTTAAAAAGAAAAATTTTTACGAATTCTTAACTCAAAATAATTTGCTAATTTTCGTGATTTTTCCATATTTTGTCAATTTTTGAACTTTAAATGCTTATAAAAAAAAATTGTGACTATGGATTTTTAATATTTTTCATCTGCCTTTGAAACAACATATTAGGAGCCTTCTATTAAATTTTCAAGCTTTCGCAACGAACAAATAAAATTTTATTGATATTTCTAGAAAAAAAACTAAAAAAAAATGAAAAATGAAAATGTCCCTAAACAGTTCAAAATAAATCAAAATATTTTGAAAATGTTATCGTGTATAGAAAATGCAAATATAAACAACCAGTGAAAATTTCATGTATCTACGGTCATTTGTTTTAAAGTTACACCAATAACCAAATTCGATTTTTTGGAAAATCGATTTTGCGTAAAAATTCCCGTTTTTCCTTAATTTTTATGTTGTTTTTCCCGGCGCTTGTGAAAACTACTGGAAAATGTTTACTTTTGACCCCCCAAAGTACCAACTAGATTCACTTTCCTATCAGAAAAGGTACTATTGAAGAAAATCGAAGCACTTTTACTGTCCCAAAACGTGATGACAGACACAAAAATATAAATAAAATATAAATAAAAATATAAAAATATAAAAATATAAAAACATACATCATTGTAAAACCAATACATTCATCGCTCCGCTCAGAATCTAAAACCTAGAATAACTGATTTAGTTATTTTGTTGTGATTGTATAATATTATTGGTGGGTACTTGAAACTTCTAAAGTACACTATATATGAAAAAAAAACAACTTTGTAATATCAATACATTCATCCCTCTCTCAGCGAATCTAAAATGTTGATATGAGTTCTTCATCTAACTATTTAAATAGATTCTATAGGTACAAATTATATTTAAAATATAACAAACGAAACTGAATTGTGCATTTTTGTACGGAGTCAGTTAGTAAAATATAAAATTGTTTTCAGAAATAAATTGTTTATTGTAGCCTATAGGTAATTAATTGATAAAAAGAGTAAGAAGTGCCTACGAGTCTACAATGATTCAATAAAACATACAAATCAGAAGGTCACTCTACTGTATCGTAGGTTTTACTAGTTTCAATACCTATAGTATACTTTGTTGAAATATGGTAAAACCCCATGACCCTCCCCCCCAGCCCCATTATAAATCATAATAATATAGGAAGTAGGTACCTACTAACTATAAATATAATAATTAATAAATAATGGATAATATTAGACTTAAGGTATAATATAACTTAATATAATATATAATATATATATAATTCTACTGTACGTGTGTTGTGATTGAACTCCTCCTAAACGGTTGGTCCGATTTGAATGAATTTTTTTGTATGCGTTTGGGTGACGCCTCGGATTGTTTAGATTCACAAATCATCCCCCTAGGTCCAACCAGGAGATGTGCTGAAACGGGGATTTAGAGATTTACGGTGGACATTTTTGTTTATAAATGGTTGCCATGGGTTTTAAAACTATTATAATAATAATTATTGGTTGCCTTGAAATCAGTGTATTCATTCAATGCATTTAATTTTTTTGTACGCTGTATTTTGATATTATATGTATCGCAATTGCGTAAATATTGAA